AAACTTTGCCTTAAAAATAATTACAATACCGAATGCTTGTAATAATACAGGGAAGGAAGGGAGAGGCCAAGCGCAGGCACCAGGACAGGGTCGGGGGGGGGGGGGGCTCTGCCTGGGAAGCCTCGCAGACAGGCAGGTAGTTGAGTGGGGTCTTCTCCAGGCCCCTGGGGCCAAAGGGCCCTCCAGGTACAGGATCAGCTGTGCACAAGCCCAGGGCATTGAGTCAACTGCACACAGCTGTGATGGCTATAATACAGATGGGAAGGAGAGACCAGTAGAAGATTAGGTACAGACAGGTGGAAGCCTACTCCCGAAAGTGTTTTCACCATGTTAGAGTTTGACCTTTATCCTATGGGGAAGTAATTTTTGGCAGGAAAGAGCCATAACTGTATTTGTTTTTCATAAAGATTTTTCTGCCCCAGCGTGAGGATGGACAGGGGACCAGAGGCAGTGGGATAAGTTAGCTCTATTGCAATTGTCCAGGCAAGAGGTCTGAACCCAACAAGGAGATGGAGAGAAAGAAGAAATTCAACAGACGCTTGAGTCCATGAGCCAAGGGGAATGAAGGAGAGGAAACAGTGAGGTTGACTCCCAACGTTTATGGATCATCTTTCTACCAGTTCTTCCTAGTTTTTAAAATGAGAGCTAATATGCATACAGAAAGCCACACAAATAAATGCACGGCACATACAGCTCCATGAGTTATCGCCCAGTGAAGACATCCATGCAATCCCCATGTAACCCTTCACTTCTTGGACTATTTAGGCCTCAAGGGACGTGACATCCACTTGCTCAGGCTGGAAACCCACAAGTCATTTTTGATTCCTTCCTAGCCCTCATAACATACATCTAAGCCATCAGCAGGTCCTGTCAGCTCCACCTTCAAAATATTTCTAGAGCTCAAGCCGTTCTCCCCTCTCCACTGCTACTACCCTCCTCCAAGCCATCCTCACGTCCAACCTGGGCTGTGGCCACAGCCTCCTGCCTGTGTTCTCTCAGTCCACTCTTGCCCACTACAATCTAGTCTCCATGCAGCTACTGGAGTGGTCCCTTCAACACGGGAATTGTATCACGTTACCCCTGGTGCTGGATTACGTTAATGGCCCTCATTCTTCACCCCTCTCTGTATTGGTGGCCTTTACCATGTAACTTGTAAAGGGGGTGACCTGCATCACCCTCTTTGATTCTGGGCTCAGCTATGTGATTTGCATAGTGGATACCGTGCAAGCACAGGCTTGAACTGGGTTTTGGCATTAACACTTTTTCTTTGCAAAATTGTGCCAGACTCCATGCTTCTCCCAACTTAACTCAAGTCTGAAATTGAGTCTCACGAGATGCATCTGATGGGTGGACCCTAATTCACATCCAGAACTGTAGCAGTAGGTAGGGGCGTCTGTGAACAGTAGGCTCTGCCATCCAGGAAGGAGCGTGAGAATGACGTTGCCATGAACGGAGAATGAGCCGCTTCCTGGAATCACCACATCCTCCTACTCCAATGTGCTTTCCAGATTGCCTTGCATGCCTTGCCCCTGTGCCTGCCATTACCCCAGGCTGCCCCGCTTTACTCTCTGGCTCTCAGGGTCCTGGCCAGGATCTCACCTCCCCCTGGGCCCTTCTCTACCCATACTGGCTCACGTTGGTCTCTGTCCACCCGCACAGTGCCTTTTAGCAATCTCCTCCCAAACTCTGCAGCTGGCATCAGATAAAGGGGAATCTCCAGTCTCTCTCACTGTCTCCCTTCCTTCCCACTGCACTGAGGGTTTTATTCAGCTGCCCATTCCATTTTCACCTTGTCCTGGAAACTGACCGCTTAGCTTCATATTTTTGGCTAACTCTGAATCCTCTAGAGCCATAGGTCAGATCGAAACAATCTATTCCCCTTCTGATTTCTTTCTCACTTGTCACTTGTTTGCAAACAGGAACAGCTTATCCATTAGGCACAAAGGCATAGTACCTAGAGGCTCACAAGAATGTCTTCATGTTGATTTCTTTTAAAATCAAAAGAAAATAATAATACGAACATATAATAATGAATCAAGCCTGGAGTATATTCATCTTCATACCCCACCTTTGTAGACAATATTTTTACATATTCTTTTAATAGAGGAGGGGACCCACAAAGGCAAGCAAAAGTCACAATATGATCCTGGTGGCTCTTGAGTATGTTGTTATCCCTCGTGAGCGCATGTGTGCTTCAACTTAACTATAAAGTTCTTAAAAATGAGAATGGCCTTTTTTACATATTTGTTTTCCCTACAGAAAGTATCTTTTTTTAAATATTGGCACCTGAGCTAACATCTGTTGCCAATCTTCTTTTTTTTCACTTCTTCTCCTTCTCCCCAAAGTCCCCCAGTACACAGTTGTACATTCTTGGTTGTAGATCCCTCTGGTTGTGCTATGTGGGATGCCGCCTCAGTGTGGCCTGACGAGTGGTGCCATGTCCGCACCCAGGATGGGAACTTGAGAAACCCTGGGCTGCTGAAGGGGAGTGCACGAACTTAACCACTCAGCCACGGGGCCAACCCCCAGAAACTATCTTCTTATTAGAAACTTGTGTTAACTGGCTGACCAAGTGCAACATGCTCCCCACAACATAGAAAGATCAGGGGTTGCATTTTCCTTTCTCCATCCCAGGGTCAAAGCCACAGAGGGCAGACTGAGTGAGCCCCACACGCTGCTTAGTCTACGTGAAGACCGTGGAGACCATCCACTGCTGGTCGGAAGCTCACGATCAGGCAGCATTCTCCCCTGTTCTTAGAGGCCAAGGAGAGGAGGCTCTAAGTTTCGCTCACTCATTTACTGATTCATTCATGCAGCGGAATCCCGGCTTCTCTCCTCTTACTAGTTATGTGGCCTAGGCAAGTAATTTAAGCTCTCTTTGCCTCGGCTTCCTGAACTAGAAACTGGGGAATAAATAAGTTCTGGCTTCAGAGGGTCCTGATGAAGAGTAAGTGAGATCGTCCATGTCAAGGCCGCCGGTGCTACTGAGCACTCTAGCAATGGTGGCTGGCAATTAATTGGACAAAAGTTGGAGCACCAACATGGTTACCAAATTGACACATGTAGACTGAATGAACCACCAGTGATCAGACATCTGAAGGCCTTCTCTCCGGGCTCGCCCCACCCCCGTCGCCCCAGTTGAGCTCACTGGCTGCTGGAGCTTCAGAGCAGCCTGTCAGAGCCACGGAAATCAAGCACATTTGTGTTCTCTGGCCTGTTGTGGGATGAAGGTGCTTTGCCCACATCTCACCACACCGAGCGTGTGCTGACTAGGAGAGAGCTGGTCACCAGCCCAGGGTTACAGAGGAAGTGTCCCCCGTGGCTGTGGACTGTGGCAGCACCACCCCCCGCTCTCCCAGCCCAGTTTCACCTCCACTCAGGACATTCCCCACAGAGCAGCCACAGATCTTTCTGAAGGTGCATGTTCAGTTGCATCCTGTCCCTGATCATCCTGTACAAGCTTCTCCTTGAGTTTCAAGCACAGACTCTCAGTGGCTTCCCGAACCTCCATGTCTTCCCTGCCTGCTCTCCCCTCTCCCTCCAGCTCCGCCCCCAGCCCTGACCCCAGCTTTTGGCTCCTGAAGGAGCACATCCTCTTTCTCTCACAGACCTCCCGCCTCGAGTCCCCTCGCCCAGCGCAGCTTTCTCTTTCTCTTCATTTGGCCGATTCCCACTCCGCCCTGGGAAACAAGCAGGTTGGAGCCCCTGCTTCGCTCTCCCACAGCACCTGGTACCCCAACCATCACTGCAATTGTAACTATCTGTTTAATGTCTGTCTTTCCCAACAGACAGTAAGCTTCCTTGGGCCACCGCTGTGCCTGTCGTGTTCACAACCATACCTTCAGCACCTGACGCAGGGCGGGCTCCTAGAATCTCTCAGCGCACATCTGTTGGCTGAAATAATGAACTAAGAGGCTAAAGAATAAGGTCCCAAGGAGCAAAACCAAGAGTGAATGCCAATGCCCAGAATCAGTGTGCATCCACTGAACCAACACAGGGATGGGGCCAGAGAAAAACAGGCTCATGGGAACCACGCTGGCCCTCAGGTTCCTCCCTGTAAATCGGGGATACTGACAAGCCTGTCTCACAGGGCCATTGTGAGGATCAATTGAGTTAACAGAAAGAGAGCACTTAGAACAAGATGTGACATATGCTGGCTGTGTGTGTGACTGTTCTTTTTATCAGCCTCGTTGGGCATTGTTCCTCGGTACTGGCCCTCATGCCACACAGTGAACATGGAGGGCAGTTGACTGAGGCAAGCGTGTGCAGGAAGGGACATCTGTGGACGGGTGACGTTCAATGGCCCATCCGAGAGGGGCATAGAGCAGGAATGGCTGGGGCCACCTTTCCCCGAAGTGTCCCGTTCTCTACAACGTGCAGCAGATTAGCGAGTTCTGACCCCGCTCCGAGGACAGCACACAACCCCATGCTGCCTCCTCAGCCCATCTGCAGAGCTGGGCCCGATGAGTATTCCATCTTTATCCCCCGGTCCCCAAGAACAACACATCAAAGAGTATGTTTGCATCCCTACAGCAGATAACAGCACTGCCATGAGCTTCAGGGTCCACATGTGCCACAGATAGAATGAATTAATAATTTCACATATTTATAAAATATAAATTAACCCAAGAAATATATAACTCCAAGTAAAATTCCTGCTTTTTAAAGCTGAGCAGAGAAAGACACTTCATAAACTAAAGCCTAGTAGGTTTTCATTATATGGCATCACCAAATTGGCATTTATCACATGAAACAAATCACTCCTCTCTGATGCAAAGATGTTGACACAACAGAAGCATCAGGCTATTTAGGGTCCGGGGAGGGGTATATCCAGATAGCTGACTTTTTACATTACATTTGATTATTTGGCTTTTTTTAACAATAGAAAATCAGGTAACATGATCAGTGAGAATTCTAGAGGCTCTTGTGCATTTAAACGAGCACAGTAAATTACTTGTAAAACCATGCAGCAGTTACCTTGGTCTTTGTGTGTAACATACCATGTCTGTTTGGAACCCCGTCTGCTTTGATGGTAGACAGCGATTCGCTCTGAAACCTGCCTTCTCTTGCTCTGCTCTGTGTGAAGAGGGGCCTTTAATAGCCCAGCTGGTTTTCCTGGAAGAAGAAAAAAGAAGCAGGGTGAGAAATGTATGTATCAGACTTCTTTCTTTTCTATAATATGTAAGGATAATTTATATTCATATTCAAAGATGTAAAGAGCCACACACCAACTTTATAGAGAAGTGGTAAAAATGTAAAGCAGGATCCTATATCGAATATACTGTAGCAAAGAAAAAAAGCTGTCAGTCTATTCTACAAGAACATAATCTACTAAAAACCAACCTTTTCTCTTCTTGGGCCCCAACCCTGAAACAGAGCAGCATGTATATCTGCAAGAATTCTGTAGGCATGCGGATTATTTATTACTGAGTTTGGGGATTATTTTATTGCTAAATAGGCTTGAGGGAGGCCATGTATTATCTATGAAATATTTCCAAATATTATTAAGGATACATCATTAGAAAAGAGAGCAACTTTTTAACTTAAGGTTCCATTTTCCTCATAAAGAATTTTTTCCATTCAGAACCTGAAATAATGCTACACACACACACACATGCATATAAACATAGAAAATACATATATATTTTTGGCAAGATTTTATAACCACAATAGAAAAAAGAAGAATAAAAAAAGAAGAAATCATTAGCATCACCTGCAGGTAAAGAAATGCGTGAGCTGAGATAGAAGGCCTTTATATGTAAAGCCAAGAATACTTATTTCCATATTGCAAAATGTGTCAAGTTTTGCAGAGATAATAGCATTGACTGGAGAATGTTAATTACAATAAATCTCCCAGAAACCCCCAGAGCTAGCATCTCTCCCTCCAGCTCTGGGTAGTCTGTAGAGCAGATCCAGGAGCTCACCTCTGCCTTCCTCTCCTGTCCTCTGGCCTTTTCTGAATACTCCCAGCTGAACTAGAAAATTTCTGTTTGGCAGCAGTCTGGAAGGAGCATCCAGAAGGACCCAAAGTTACCCCAGCTCTGTAGGGGCCCCCACAGCCACAGCCACGGAACAGCCAGCCAGAGATTCACCCAGAATCAGGCCTGCGCTCCGCCCCAGCGGGGGCCACCCTGCCTCTTGGCAATGCCCCCTGGGCAGATGCTCAAACACTGCAGCCACACACGGAGCCACCTGAGAGAAGGGAGGATAGTCGGCCAGCTCCGCTTCTCCACCTCTGTGTGTACCTGAGCCAGTTCCATCCTTCCCTCTAGCACACCCAGGGAAAACCACGTGGAGGATAAAATAAAACAGCAATGCATAGAGAAAGGAGAGGCCACCATAGTGCTTGGGATCTGTGCTTGACAGAACCCTCATGACTGCAAGATCTTCCCAGACCTGTTCCTTCACAGCATAAAAACCACGTTGCTAAATTCCAAGCTGTGGTGCCGAAGGATCTGTTGGATATAAAGCTTATTTGAGAACAGGGAGGAGGGGAGATGGGTAGTATATAAAAATCACCTTTTATTAGAAATCTCTCTTTTCCTGAGGGCTCTGCTTGCATTGTCTCTGACCATTCCATCCTACAGAGGACAAAACCGAAGCTCAGAGACATGAAGTAACTTGCCAAGATTACACAGCTGGTAGATTATGCCTCTGAGCTGGGTCTGAACCCAAATTTTTAAGACCTCATGCTTTTAACCCCTCAACCAAACCACACTGCTTATCTTTGTAGATTCAGCAAATGTGGACAGTATGAATAAGAACCCATTTCTTGATTTAACAACCAATGGTTTCATCAAAATACGTATGACAATCTTATCAATAGCGTTTGAAGGAGAGACATTATAAAGTCCTAAAGCAACGTTGATGTGTCTTATATTACACACACATACAGTACATTCAGGTTAAATTAATGGAACAGTGCAAATACAAGAAGGCACACGTATGGCAGAAAGGCTGTATCATCTGATCGCATGATCTGATTCTGTGGTCGTAAGGGTTTTCCTGCAGCCGTAAGACAAGCACCTGCACGGTTCACCCCAGAACCTGCAGAGACTGAGCTTGCTGCCTCCCTCCGTGGGCTAATCAAACAGCAACACTGCTAAGTGCAGTGCAGCTTCCTGATTGGATCCTGGAACAGAAAAATGACGTGAACGGAAAAACCTGTGAGACCTGAATAAAGTCGAGGGCCTAGTTAAGAGTAATGTCCCAATGATGGGGCCGGCCCAATGACTGAGTGGTTAGGTCCGTGCTCCGCTTCCACAGCCCAGGGTTTTGCAGGTTTGGATCCTGGGCGCGGACCCAGCACTGCTCGTGGGGCCATACTGGGGTGGTGTCCCACATAGTGAGGCCAGAGGGACCCACAACTAGAGTGTGCAACTCTGTACTGGGGGGCTTTGGGGAGAAGAAGAAGAAGAAGAAGAAAAAAAGATAGGCAACAGATGTTAGCTCAGGTGCCATTCTTTAAAAAAAGAAAGTAATGTACCCATGTTACTTTCTCAGTTTGGACAAATGCCCCACAGTTATCTAAAATATTAACATCAGGGCAAACTGGGTGGAGGGAACACAGTGTTCGCTTTGGAACTTTTCTGTGAATCTAAAATTATCTTGGGCCAGCCCCGTGGCCGAGTGGTTAAGTTCACGCACTCTGCTTCGGTGGCCCAGGGTTCGGATCCTGGGCACAGACATGGCACCGCTCATTAGGCCATGTTGAGGCAGCATCCCACATGCCACAACTAGAAGGATCCACAACTAAAAACATATATATACAACTATGCACTGGGGGGATTTGGAGAGAAAAGCAGGAAAAAAAAAAAAGAAGATTGGCAAGAGTCGTTAGCTCAGGTGCCAACCTAAAATAAAATAAAATAAAATAATCTCAAAATGAAAAATTTGGTTTAAAAAGTTAAGTAAAATTTAAATATAAAAATAAGAGAGAGAGAGAGAGAGAGACAACACTATGCCAGAGGCAGGAAGACCAGCTTGCTGGCCTCTTATCCTATCCAAAGGGAAAAAACATGTAGGATAATTTTTAAAATGTTTTTACTGTTTTTTATATGTCACTAATATGATCACACAGATGCAAAATCACTGACTGTGTATATTTAAATAAAGAGAAACTTGAGTCTCAAAGATTGGAAATAGATGTCAGTTAAGCCAAAACCTTGCTTTGTCTGAATCACTCCCCTGGGAGCCCGTGCTCTCGCTAGTACTTCATTAGGAGGCATTCTCTTTACTGGAGTGAGTAACAAGGAAACTGCCACTAGACGCAAAAGAAGACTTGAAATAAATAGCAAAAAATACCGGGTTCTTGGATAAAGACTTAACATCCTAAAATTCAGTTCTCCCTGTGTCAATCCGTAAACTTGTTTCCAACAAGAAGGCTAACTCCTTTTGTGGGGGAACTAGACGAGCTGTTTGCAACATCCATAAGCAAGCAAGAATAGCCATGAAAATTTGGGGAAAAAAGAGTAATAGGAAAGAACAAGCTGTGCCAGATTGTACAGTGCATAATAAAACTACCGTTTTAAAAACAAAGTGGCACTGTGCATGACCAGAAAACTGATCAATAGAATGAAGCAGACTATCCAGAAATAGATCTAAATACATGAAGCAATTTAATATATAACAGTAATTTTTCAAAACAGTAATGAAAAGATGTATTACTCAATAAATGGTGTTGAGGCAAGCAGATGTTGATATGGAAAATATCAGTAAGGTTGGCTTTTTACCTTATACCTTCCACCAAAATAAATTCCAGATGTATCAAATATGAATTCAGAGACAAATAGATAAAAACATGGAAAGATTTTTTGAAATAACCTATTTTTGGAAAAGCTCTTTAAATATAATATGAAATTTTTAAGTCATAAAAGATAGAGACCTGGATATTTGACTACTTAAAAACTTTCTGCATGGGGGTTACTAAATAAAATAAAATACAAACAACAAACTGGTAAATATGTTTGTGATTCGTATCCCAGAAAAAAAACCACTAACATTATTAATATATAAAGAGCTATAACAAATCAATAAGAAAAAGAATAACAACCCAATAGAAACATAGGCAAGGGATATGAACATACAGTTCACAGAGCAGGAAATACAAAGAGCTCTTTAAACAGGCAAAGATGTTCATCCTTACTTAGAAGTACACATTAACCACACTGAGGCACTATTTTCACCTTCCAGATTGGCAGAGATACAGAAGTTTGATATCACACTGTGTTATCAAGGATTTGAGGAAACAGACACTGTCATCTATGGCTGGTGGGAGCATACAATGGTATGATCTTTACAGCAAACGAGGCAATACAATTTCAATCAAAACCACCCACGCTCATGCTTTCTGACCTAGCAATTCCAATTCTACTTATTTACCCTCCAGGCATACTCTCACAATTGGAAAACCCCACAACTACCAGAATATTAATTGCCAAATTATTGGTGACAGCAAAAGATTAGAAACTACCTAAATATCCAACAATAGAGGATGGATTAAATAAACCAGGGAAAATCCATATAATGGAATACGATGCTCTAGGTAAAAAGAATGAAGAAATCCCATAGGACTGAGAGTGGAAAGCCTCCAGGACATATTAAGTAAGAAAAGCACACAATGAAACAATGAATGACGTTATCGTTGTTGGGGTGGTGGGTACAGCCGTGCGCTGCATAATGACATTTCGGTCAACGCTGGACCGCATATACCACAGTGATTCCATAAGTTTAGCACCGTACATGCACAGTAGGCTCTACCACCTAGGTTTGTGTAGGTGTGCTCTATGATGTTCGTACAACGACGACATCATTGCCTGATGACAGATTTCTCAGAACGTGTCCCTGTCCTTAAGTGATACGTGACTGTCTTGATAAACGGATATAAAATTTGCATAGGGGAAGGGTTGGTTGGGGGGACAAATGTCAGAAGAGATGCTGACAGCTTTGTGGGTTTTCTCTTTTGGCCTCTCTATTTTCTGATCAACATTAATTCCATTTTATATAAGGAAAATAAACAAAGTTAATTTTATAGGAAACACAGTCAAATGCCCCGTAACGACTCAACGCATTTCTGAGAAGAAAGTGAAAACAAATAAAACCACCTGGTTCTTCAGGCCCCTCGCCTGATCCTCCGCGGGCCCCACCCTCTCCCCAGGAAAACAATGTCGTGTTAAACCCTCAAAGCCTCCCAGCTCAGTTGTTAAGGTAATTGTGTTTACTCTTTTCCAAACAGAGTAATTTGAATCAGAAAAGCAAATGTGCTCAGTCTTCAGGTTCTTTGAAGTTGTCTTCCTCCTTGCTCCCACGTGTGCAGCCGCCCACGGCCGGCCGGCTGCCCAGGGCAGGACACACAGCTTCTGCAAGCATTGCCTTAGCTACTCCACTCTGCTTGTGATGATGATGTGAAACAAAACGTAAAGAAAATCACATTTGAAATAAAACAATAGGCCCTGAAAAACACAAGCCCTGGGGTTTTTTCTGCCCTTTGAACTCTTGTGGAAATTATGAAACTTTGGAGTATTTTAAAATTTCAGAACAATTTTTAGCGTGGCAGAGTCCCAGAGACAAGACTATTTTCCTCCCTGAAAATAACATCTGATGGAGGCAAATGGTATGTCTGAGACATTAAGAGCCAGCGTCCGTCCCTCCTGAGCCTATCACGTGCCTTCCCTCCAGATGACCCTCGGTAAACATCACAAAGCCCTAAATGTGATTTTCGGATTTTAGGTTCCTAAGACTCCGGAGCTGTGGCTGTTGAGTCATGCGGGCTGGATCTGCGCAGGGAAGGGCAGAGCAGTCCACAACGTGTCAGACGAACCATCGAGTCATCCAGATAAAACCTTCTAGTCTAGAGACCCCTTGTGTCCCCTCCACCCCAAACCTCCCAGCTGGTCTCCTCTTCAATCTGTGGGGTCCTGCGTCTCCTCCCTGGAGCTCCTAGTCCTTTTACCATTTCCTCCTTTTTAACACTCCTTTCCCTGCTTTTCCTTGTCACAACAAATTTGAAATTGGAAGGTATTTAAGAAGAAAAAAATAGAAAAAGATTCAAAAGAAATCTGTTGGAATATCCTTTGCTCATTAACACCCTGAGGTTAAGTGTCTCTAAAGGCATTTAAATCCTTGGGGGTTGTTTTTTTTTCATTACTTTATGTACTTGCAATAAAAACATTCCTTTAGACTTTAGAAATTCTAAATAAAACAAGAACAAAAGAGTGTTCCCTTTTTTCAGCTCTCCACCCAAATGCTACCACTGTAAATCAAGGTAAAAAAGTGAACTAACTACTGGCATTTAAACGTTTGCTGTCCCAAATATTTATTCCTTCCTACTCCCCCGAATTTGTTTTATAGAAAACAATGCTCATAAAACAATAAATATTCATTCTTTATCTACGAAAATTTTTAGATCAAAGTGCCGTGTGGCCCAAATCCTGAAGAGCAAAAATTAACCATATTTGTTCAGCAGAGAGCCTCCAGCTTCAAACTCCCCATAGCTGCCTGACCAAGTCGGGTTTCCATTTCTCTCTCAGTGCTGGCCCTGCAGACACAGTAATATGATTACCACCCCACATTTGCATAATACACTTTGCAGCTAGAGTTCCACTTACCCCTCAAATGTTCTCTGGGCTAGAATGGAACACATTTTGGCATGAGACCTGGACCTGAATCCAGGTGCTGTCACTTAACTAGCAACACACTCCCACAGCTGGATTCAGTTTTGTCATGGGTAGGACCAGAGCACGTGCCTACTTCCCTGGGATGTCGCCATGACCGAATGAAATAATCGATCCACGGTTGCTGCCCATGAGCAGCCCAGCCGCTGTTGCAGCACCTCGCCATGTGGTCTTTCGGTGTTTGCATATTTGCCTCCCAGTACTAGATGGTAAACGCCAGGGAGGAGCTGTGTCTCTACCTCTGTAGCCTCAGAGCAGGTTCCAGGCACATTTTGAAAACTGGCTTAAGCATACTGGTTTTTTATTCCTTCTTCGGGCTCACAAAACTGCTACATTCCCCCCACACACACACACACCAACACCACGTCCACCAGCAAGAGGGAGCTAGAGCCGCCATTCCCCTGCCACATTCCCACAGCTCCTGCAGCCCCATTCAGGCTGAATATTCATGGGAGCCACGAGAAGCACAGAGAAGAGGCCCCCCTACCCCCAGCTGCGAACCAGGCTAGGCTGGCACGAACCGCCCCACCATTGCCAGCCCCAACTTGCCCAAAGCCTCCCTGGGCCCCATCAGCAGTGCTCTGCCCTGATACTCCCCCCCCCCCCCCCCACACACACACAGGCACACGCATGCACACACGTGCACACGCACACAGCTCCCAGGCTCAGGGTGCCAGGCAGCCTGTGGCTTTCTATCCAGACCTGTAAGACTCCCACGGCATTCACGTTTCTGCTGGTCCCCTTCCCTCGGCCCATACGGATGTGTTTCCCTGAGGCCGAGTCCCCACCCCAGAGCCTTTGTCTTATTGTTGACAAAGCGGTTCAGTGACAAAGTTGTTGTTCCTGGGGACATGCTCTTGTGTAATGAACTTGGCAAACAACTTTAAAATGACTACCAACATCCACCCCAGGGCAGATACATTCTGCCCAGCCCTGCAAACTGCTCTGTGGTCCTCGAAGTGCCCTCGGGCATCCCCTTCAGAGAGTACACTGAGGTAGGACTGGGTTTCATTCATAGACCTGGTGATGGACTACTGTCTACTAAATTATTCAGTGACATGTTTATTGATGGGCCATCTTTGTGCTCCTTGCTAAGACTGAGACACTATGCCTTCAGTGCCCTTCATTAGAGGTGACACAGGGCACAATTTCCAGATCCCAGCTCTGCCACAAACCATGTGGGTGACTGTTAGCCTGGCCCTGAGCCTCAGTGTTCCTTCTGCAAGATGGAGATGTTCTGCTTTACAAATTGCTTCCAGGATTAGAAGGGACATACGTGACACATGGCGTGCAGCAGTGGCGAGGTCCAGTAAATGACTGGTCTTGTCTTGTGTTTTGAATGCTTGCTCAGAGGCAGTCATGCTCAAGGGGCTGATGGACACAGGAGGCAGGGAAAACGTGTAAACACATCACGCGGGCACCAGGGTAGACATCTCCGTGGGGTGACCTTCCAGGGGGCTGAAAAAAGGGAGTGTGGTCATGCCTTCTGGGGTGGGGATTCCTTTACAGACGAGGGGACACAATGCAGTGAAGGAAGTTTAAGTGCAGGACGAGTGGTGAAGACTGGAATGGCAGTGCCGATGGAAGGAACGGCGTGAGTTCTGACTCCCTGGAGCCCACGGGATAAACCTGGGCCGCGCGGCCTCAGACCGCGGTGTGGGAGAAATGCAGCCTGAGGGAGGTGCGGCTGCAGAGCACAGGGAATTTTTAGCCTCCCGGCTTGTAAGCAACAGGGGCTGTTCATCGAATGTGTTTTCCTCTTGAAAATCTTTATCTCTATTCATTTTAATTGGAAAAATAATAGCACATGCTCATTGTTAAAGAAAAATCAAGCAGTACAAAAGGACACAGCATTAAAAAGCAAATGATCCTGCCCCATTCCCCAGCGGTAACAGTTTAGTGTTTATCCTTCTGGACTTTTCTCTGAAGAGTGTTTTAAGCAAGAAAGTGTCATGATCAGATCTTGTATGAAAAAGCCACTTTGAGTATAAGGTGGCGTGGGGTGATGGAGGTGGGAGGCGTGCCAAGTGGCTGAGGCAGTGCTTTCGGAGGCAATGAGAGCCTGCAGGAGGCAGTGCTGGGGATGCGGGGCACCTGGGTCCTCATCAGGGGCAAGGGTGACAGAGAGGGAGGAGTCAAAGATGACACCTTTATTTTGGCTCAAGTTAATGAGATTGGAAATACAGAAGAAACACAGGTTTGTGGGGGGAAGTTATGAGTATAATTTTGGACCTGGTGGGTTTCATGCGGCTGTGGGACAGCCAGGAAAGGATGTGCTGGGTCCCCGGCTGAGGAGAGGAATCCGCCTTAAAGGAGTAGACGTCATGTGATGGTGAGATCACTCAGGGAGAGCCAGAGGAAGGCCTACATTTAAGAGAACAGCAGAGAAAGGGGATCTTTACAAGGAGCCAGAGAAGGAGCAGACCCAGGAGGGGAGAGAGGAGAGCAGTGTCACCATCAGCCCGGCAGGATCCCACGTCAGACGCCGTGGAGGGAACAAGTAATTTGACTCAGGCAAAAACCAGCTTTGTTCTTCATGGTCATCAGGGAGCTTTACCAGAATGGGTTCAGCACATCATTTATGTACATTATTACAAAGGAACGGGAAGGAAATAGAACACAATGTCAATAGGAATTATTTCTGGGCATTGAGATTATGGGTGATTGCTATTTCCTTCTGTTCCTAGAAGAGAGACGAGGGGTAAGGGAGGAAGAAGAAGGTGCAATATTCCAAAAGGAAACATTTAAAAATTATACGGGGCCAGCCCTGGTGGCCTAGTGGTTAAGCTGCTATGCTCTGCTTCAGGGGCCTAGGTTCGGTTCCTGGGTGCAGACCTACACTACTTCTCACTGGCCATGCTGTGGTGGCAGCTCACATACAAAAAGAGGAAGATTGGCAACAGATGTTAGCTCAGGGCAAATCGTCCTCAGGAAAAAAAAAAAAAATTATATGGATGAAGCAAATTTATTCAACATGTTCAAGCATTTAGTATAAGGGAAGATACCAATTTTATGGAGTATGGCACAGAATAATATTGCTATTACATATTACTGCTTGTTATTTGGTAAAGGCGCCACGTGGAGCATGGTGGGAAACTCTCTGGCTCCCCGAAAGACCCCACAAAGACAACTCAGGAACCCACTGTAGGGTATTCCCCAAACTTTAGCTACTGAAGTCCACGATTTTCATCAAATCTCTTCACCATCAGTCCTATTATTTAGTAAACATTGTATTTAAAGCAACCACTTTTTAAACTTAAATAGATGCATATAATTGTTGTTACAATAATAATGAAAAGTAAGTATAATGAAACAAAATAGCTATTAGTAATTCTAGCAAGATGCTCTCAGCAACCCAAGGCTTGCAGCCTGCGGCCTGAACTGGCTCTCTGGTAGAAAGGACAACCCACAGGCACCAGAGGTGGTTAAAGCCTTACTGGTACTTAGTTGTAGTTTGGATTTCTCCAGAAGTGAACCCTGTGACAAGAGTTCAGTTGCAAGCAGCTTACTTCAAAAGGTGAAGGAAACATTGGAACACAAATAAGAGAGCTGGGAAGTGAGGTAAGAAAAAGGGAAGGAAGCCAGTAAATGATGTGTCACCAAGCTAGCAACCACTCTGGGGCAACTGGAGCTGAATGCCACTGGGAAAGGCCTGGAGCCTGCACAGAACACACCTCAGAATCAGCCACACAAAGGGCGAGAGAGCTGGGGTATTGTCACACCAACAGCCGGTGGAAGCTAATTCTGGGCACATTAACTCCCCAGCGTTGCAAGGTGCCTTGTGGGCAGCAAGAGCAGGCCCCAGAGGCAAGAGAGGACCCCAGGCAGAGAACAGAGGTGCTGCCTGGAAGTCTGGCAGGAGCACAGTGACTTGATAAAGAGAAGAGGTATGCATAGGGCCCAACAGGGGCTGCGAGACACTCAACCAGGATGGAAAGAAGAGACAAGGAAATCGCTCTCACTATTTGAGGCAAAGGAATTTATGCTGTGCCTGGTAATCACGTGAAATCATCTCCCATACCACCAAGCTGAGGTTCCCCCACCCCAGGACCCTTCAGACACTGGAGGCCTGAAGCAGCCCAGGAGGGAGATCGCCTAACCCCACAACCGTCCTGAGGGGCCTGGCCGGACCTCAGCCACGGAAAAACAGGCCTTTTAAAATACTGTTAAATTTAAATCTACTTTTCTCCCTACCAATTAGAAAAAGCCTCATCATATCTGCCTGGCAATACAGTCGTCAAAAGTATTCTCCATGGAAGCAAGCCACTAGGAGGAAAACCTATATGGACCACACAGACGAATGAGAGTGCGATTGGTCATTTTAAAAAGGAATCTTTACCCTTATAAAAGGACCATCAAATCCCTTCAAGTAATAGCTTCCCTGATTCACTTAAAATATGGTTTATTTACAAATATCAAGCTACACTCACCTGTAGCCCACGACTATGACAAGGACGTAATTTTATACGTCTCCTGTGCTACCAAACTGGGTGTGTGTATTTTCGTAGATACTCTTTCATTCAACAAACATTTACTGGAGTTTTTTTATACACCAGGAGCTGTTCTAGGCACCTGGAAGAGAGAGTCATGAGGGAAACACAAAAATCCCTCCCCTCCAGGGCACTCCGTTCCAGTGGGGCAGACCGTCAGTAGATAGGTGAATAATACACACAGACGTCAGCTGGCAGTAAGTGCTACAGAAAAGCAGGAAAAGAGGTGAGAGAGTGCTGGTAGCCAGGAGAGGTTGTAATTTTACATAGGGTGATCGGAGAGGACCTTATGACAGGGACATAGGAAAGACCCAAAGGAGGTAAGGGAGGAAGCCATGTGAAGAGCTGGAGAAAGATTACCACAGAGAGAGGAATAGCCTGCGCCAAGGTCCCGGGGCAAGAACACACCTGAGATGCGAGAAACAAGAAGGACACTAGTGCGGCTGCTACAGAGCAAGCGGGGGAGGGCAGAAGGTGCGGCCAGAAAAGTCGGGGGGGGCGCAGAGGTCACATAGGGTCTTGTAGACCAACATGAAATGGTGACTCCTGGAGAGCTCTGAGCAGAGGAGAGGCCTGAACGACTTGGGTTTAAGAGGATCTCTCTGGCAGCCTTGCAGACAACAGGCAGGTGAGACAAGGGCAGAAACGAGGAGGCCGGTGAGGAGGCTACTGCCAAAACCCAGAGGAAAGACGACGGCAGCTTGAACCAGGCTGTGCATAGCTGGTTCTGGTTATGCTTTGCAGGTGAAGGATTTGTAGATAGATTAGATGTGGGGAGCGGGAGAAAGAGAAGAGTGAAGGATGGCTCTAAGGCAGAACTGACCTGCCATTTCCAGAGACAGAGACGGTGGAGGAGCAGATTCAGGGGAAGATCAGAAGCTGGATTTTGGACATGCTAAGTTTCAGACACCTATTAGACATCAAGTGGAGAGGTCTGGTGGTAGCTGGAGATGCAAGTCTCTGAGTCAGGGGCTAGGTCTGGCCAAAGACAGAACTTGGAGTTGTAGGCATCTACTATGTATTTACAGGCATGAGAATGGATGAGGTCATCAAGGGAATGAACAGATAGAAGAGAAGGGGCTGAGAGGCTGAGCCAGAGGGCCCCTCCACCAACCAGAGGTCAGGGAAGATGGGGAACAAGCAAAGGAGACCGAGTGGTGGCCCTGGAGGCCAGGAAAGAGCCAGAAGCTGACGGCATCCTGGAAGCAAGTGAAGAGAGCGTTTGAAGAAAGAGTAATCAACTGTGTCCACTGCTGAGGATGG